TTGATATGGGGATGTATACATAATGGTTAGTGTAAGGTCTAATGACACGGTTAGTCTTCGGGATATTGTTGTTTAGGAATTGAAGTCAGACAATGCTCACGGTCAGTCATGCGTACTGCTGGGGCTTTGATCTGAGACTGCAGCGAAGGCTATCTTGGGAGTTAATGCACGGGCCTGTTTTGAGCTTCGGGTATTCAGACAGAAAATGACTCTCATCGTGGTGGAAATTATCTCTCAGAGTATCTGCGTGAAGGGTCGCAAGAATTCACAATGAAGGCGGCTGCCGATATACATACACTGTCCTCTGGGAGCTTCAAAGCCTAACGCTAGGCCGGGATCATACACCAGAAGCCTAAACCTAGGAGGATTGATGGAGCTCTGGGGCACCTCGCGGTAGTTTTTTGGGGTATATATATATATATTTATTTAAAAAGAAATGTATAGGTATATGTGCCTACATATGTCTATGTGCATACATGTATATATGTGTATATTCACCCAGAAGTGCATCCAGTGGGGAAGCTACGCTCTGGTGGAGCGGTTCGCCCAACGTCCCTAGAGCCGTCAGCCCTAAGTCCCTAAGCCTGAAGTTCAACATCTTCAAGCGGTAGGGTCCTTAAAGCAACCGTCAAGTCCGATAGAGTCAGCCCCACAGCTCCAAGACGAGGCCCTGCAATTTTGGTGCCGTAAGCTCTGATCAAGGCTAAGTGCCGGGTTCATGGTGCTTGTTTCGGGGCGTTTGTTTCGGCTGTAGGAAGATCTGGATCACGAGATATTCAGCTAATTTGCTTGCAAGTTTATGAATCGTTCGGTTTTTAGGCTAGTGTTCCACAAGCAACCCTGAACCCCAAAGCGTCAACAGACTCTGCGGACCAGGAGGAGGACGAGTTCTTCGAGACCCCCGACGAGAAGCGTGTACGCCTGGCAAAGGACACCGTGCAACCGGAAGTTTTTGCAGTTGAAGAGTTGTAGGATTTACGGCTTAAAGCTCAGGGCTGAAAGTTTATGGTTTGTGCTTTCTTGCAGAGGCTTGATGTATGTATCGTATAGACATCAGATGGACTCTGATTGGAACACAGTCGGGGTTCTAGTCGGATCAGGTAGAGCCGAGACCTCGAACAGCAACGTGCTTGATTTATAACGGAGTGCTTCCCGTCCAGTCCCCGTGCCGCTATGATCTATGGTGAAAGCACACTATCGCGCACTGTACTTTGGAGGCAGGGCTATTAAACAGCCCAACCATGAAAATCCAAAACCTCAATCCCTGGCACCCTAAGCCCAAAAAGCTGTGAGCCCAAAAGCCTCAAGCAGCCTTGCCCAGAGGAATATCTCAAGACCATCGGAGAGGGGAAGACCCGAGAACAGATTCAGGAGCCCGGCTCGGGATTCAGAGGATTTCGGTGTACAAAATAGGGTTGAGGGTTTAGGGTCCAAGAGCCAGGCTAATCTGTTGGTTCGGGTGAGCCTCAATCATCGCCTGCAGAAAGAGTCACCGTTAAGGCCTGGTGTTGTCACAGTGTTGGCGACTTTGCCTTTTTCGTGTAGCACCCTGCTACATGCCTAGGCAGCTTGCATCAGCGTAAAGAGAGTCAGAAGCCGTGGACTTTCGCTGAAGGCTCAAGATGTCGCGACTGGATGTTCGGCGCCAGGATGTGGTGTTTGAGTAATGTAGGGGCCTGAATAATTAGAATCGGGTTTTGGGGGTTCCTTATTATAATTATAGTATAGTATAACCCAAAACCTTGTTCTAATTCTTAAGACCCCTATATTATGCCTTGAACGCAAGTTCTGCTCTGATCGCTTCTAGCGGCTTCATGGATCCGACAGGGATCCTGCAGAAACGATGTAGGTAAACGGTGAACCTAAATCCCAGGAACCCTGAATCCCGTTTAACAGGAGGAGCTCGCAAAGGATACCTCGCGGCGGCAGGCAGATCGGGGGTTGACGGGCCTTTGTTGTTTACGGCTTAAGGCATTTCTGGTCTAGGGTTTAGAGTTTAGGGTTTAGGGTTTAGGGTTTAGCGTTTAGGGTTCAGGGTTTACGGTTTAGGGTTCAGTGTTTAGGGTCTTGGGTTTAGAGTTTAGGGTTTAAGGCGTGCCAGAGACTCACCCACCCCAAAACCACACACTTACTGAGCTGGACGTAGTGGACTTGTCGTGCTCTGTGCGGCATCACTTCTAATTACCTGCGGTTTGGCTTCGAGGTGGCTGACTGGGCTTTACTATAAGGAGCCCAAGTACCAAGACGATTTTGGGCTTCCCTGTCATAAACTATACTAATTATTGAGGCCCCTATACTGGATTGTTGGGAGTGACAGGCCAGCCTAGAGGCCAGCAAGGTCATGGGTTTGGGTTTGTGATTCTCGCTGGGGGTTCGACAGAAATAGGGAGCTAACCGCTCGAAAAGGACTAGAGTATTCGAGCAACTGGTGGCAAACCGCTCAAAAGCGACTAGAGTATTTGACAAACAAGGAGCAACCCGTTCGAGAGGGACTAGAGTCTTGACACAGCAAACCGATCGAAAGCGATTGGCGTATTTGAGAAACCGGAGCAAACCGCTCGAAAGAGACTGAAGTGGTTCAAAAACAGTGAGCAAACCGCCCTAAAAGGGCTGGAGTGCTTGAGGAAGCAGGGAGCAAACCGCTCGAAAGCGATTAGAGTTTTTGAGAATCTGGAGCAAGGGACTAAAGATTTTGAAAGGGACCACCGAATTTTCAGACACAACAAGCAAACCGCTCGAGAGGGACAGAAGTCATTGAGAAACAAGGAGCAAACCGCTCAAAGGACCAGAGTCTGTGCAAAACAGGAACCGAAAGGAACTGAAGTAGTTGAGAAACAAGGAGCACACCGCTTAAAAGGGACTAGGGTATTTGAGAAACTACAGAAAGCCGCTTGAAAGGGGCCAGGCTACAGTATATGATAAACAGGGAGTAGACCGCCCAAATAAGAATAGTGTATTTAAGTTATTTAAGAAACAAGGAGCAGGCGGCTCGAGAAGGGAGTTTGAGAAACAGGGAGCGAACTGCAGGAAAGGGGCTAGGGTATTTGCGAAACAGGGAGCACATCGCTCGAAAGCGACGAAAGTGTTTGAGAAACAGGGCGCGCACCGCTCGAAAATGATTAGAGTATTTGAGAAACAGAGAGCCAACCGTTCGAAAGGGACTTTGAGTGTTTGAGAAAAAAACAGCAAACTGCTCAAACGAGATTATTTAGAGTGCGTGAGAAGCAAGGGACAAGCCGCTCGAAAGGGACAACACCAGTTGAAAAACATAGGACAAACAGCTGGAAAGGAACCAGAGCTTTCGAGAAATACGGAGCAAAGAACTCGACAAGTTGGGCACCTGCGAAACCGGGAGCAAACTGCTCGAAAGGGGCTAGAGTATTTGAGAAACAGGGAGCTCCAAAGGGACTAGGGTACTTGTGGCACAGTGAGCAAACCGATCGAAAAGGTATTAAATATAGCATTTGAGAAAGTGGGTTCTGGCCGCCCGAAAGAGACTACTTTGTTGGAGAAACAGTGAACAAACCACACAAAAGGGACCTAGGGGTTATAAGGAACAGGGAGCAAGCCGCCCGTGAAAGACAAAAGCTCTTGAAAAAAACAAGGGGCAGACAGCTCCAAAGTGACTAGAGTCGAGTATCTGACAAACAGAGAGCAAACCGCTGGAAAGGGACGAGAGTGTTTGAAACGCATGGAGCCATATGCTCGAAACGGACTAGAGTGTTTGAGAACCGCTCGAAAAAGACTAGCGAATTTGAGAAGCAACAAGCCAGCCGCTCCAAGGGCACAAAAGTGTTGGGGAAACAAGGAGCAAACACCTCGAGCAAACCGCTCAAAGGACCAGAACAAGGAGCAAACCGCGCGAAAGGAACTAGAGTAGTTGAAAAACGGTGAGGAGCACACCGCTCAACGTTGAGAAACGACAGAAAACCGCTCGAAGGACCAGAGTAGAGTGGTTGAGAAACAGGAGTAGGCCCGCTCAAAAAAGAAAAGAGTATTTAAGAACTGAGGAGCAGGCCTCGAAAGGGGCTGGGGCATTTACAAAACAGGGATCGCGCCGCCCAAAAGGGACTAGAGTTTTTGAGGTTTGAGAGACAAGGAGCAAACCGCTCGAAAGGGACTAGACTATTTGAGGACAGGGAGCAAATCGCTCGAAAGGGACCGGAGTAGAGTAGTTGAGAAACAGGGAGTGAACCGCTCGAAAGTGACTGGTGTAGAAGAGAGACAAGGAGCAAACCACATAAAATACCTAGAGTATTTCAGGGAACAAACCGCTCGAAAGGGACTAGACTTCGGAAGCAGGGAGCTAACCGCTCGAAAAGACTAAAGGATTCGAGCAACTCGTGGCAAACCGCTCCAAAGGGGCTAGAGTATTTGACAAACAAAGAGCAAACCGTTCGAGAGGGACTACGAGGGTATTTGAGAAACCGGAGCAAATCGCTCGAAAGAGACTGAAGTGTTTCAAAAACAGTGAGCAAACCGCCCGAAAAGGGCTGGAGTGCTTGAGGAAACAGGGACGAAACCACTCCAAAGAGATCAGAGTTTTGAGAATCAGGGATCAAACCGCTCGAAAGGGACTAAAGTATTCCAAAGGGACGAGCGACGAGCGAATTTTGAGAAACAACAAGCAAACCGCTCAAAGGACCAGAGTATGTGAAACACAGGAAGCGAACCGTTCGAAAGGAATTAGAGTAGTTGAGAAACAAGGAGCACACCGCTCAAAAGGGACTAGGGTATTTGAGAAACTACAGAAAACTGCTCGTAGGGACCAGGGTACAGTGTTTGAGAAACAGGGAGTAGACCGCCCAAGGAAGACTAGAGCATTTAAGAAACAAGGAGAAGGCCACACGAGAAGGGAGTTTGAGAAACAGGGAGCGAACCGCAGGAAAGGGGCTAGGGATTTGCGAAGCAGGGAGCACACCTCTCGACAGGCGATTAGAGTGTTTGAGATTTGAGAAACAGGGAGCAAACCGCTCGAAAGCGACGAAAGTGTTTGAGAAACAGGGGGCAAACCGCTCGAAAATGACTAAGAGTATTTGAGAAACAGAAAGCCAACCGCTCGAAAGGGACTAGAGTTTTTGAAAAACAAACAGCAAACCGCCCAAACGAGATTATTTAGAGTGTGTGAGAAGCAATGGGCAAGCCGCTCGAAAGGAACGAGACCAGTTGATAAACAAGAAGCAAACAGCTGGAGAGGAATCAGGGCTTTTGAGAGATACGGAGCAAAGAACGCGACAAGTTGGGTACCCGCAAACTGCTCGAACAGGACTAGAGTATTTGAGAAACAGGGAGCGCACCGCTCGAAAGGGACTAGAGTACATGTGGCACAATGAGCAAGCCGATCGAAAGGGATCAATTACAGTGTTTGGAGCAAGCCGCTCGTAAAAGACAAACGACCTTGAAAAAAACAAGGAGCAGACAGCTCCAAAGCGACTAGAGTATCTGACAAACAGAGAGCAAACCGCTCGAAAGGGATTAGAGTGCTTGAAACACATGGAGCCATACGCTCGAAACGGACTAGATTGTTTGAGAAAGAAAAAGCAACCCACTCAAAAGGGACTGTTTGAGACACAAATAGCACACCGCCGAATTGGGTTAGACAAAAGGAAAATCACACGGCAATTCGTTCGAAAGGGACTAGAGTATTCGACGGGGCAAGCCACTCGAAAAGGACTAACAAGAAGCAAGCCGGCCGAAAGGGACTAGAGTGTTTGAGGAACAGGAAGCAAACCGCTCGAAAGGGGCTAGAGTGTTTGAGATGCAGGAAGCAGACCGCTCGAAAGGGGCTAGAGCTAGAGTGGTTGAGAAACAGGGGGCAAACCGCTCGAACATGACTCGAGTATTTGAGAAGCACAGAGCCAACCGCACGAAAGGGATTCGAGTGATTGAAAGACGAAAAGGGACGAGGCAGCAAAGCGCTCGAAAAAGGCCAGGGTATTTGTGAAATTGGCAGCAAGTCGTTCGAAAGGGGCTGGAGTTTTCGAGAAACAGGCAGCACACCGCCCGAAAAGGACTAGAGTATTTGAGAAACAGGGCGCAGAGCGCTCGAAAAGGCTTAAAGTATCTGAGAGACAGGAATACGGTATTAGAACAACAAGGAACAAACCGCACAAACGGTACCTGAAGTTTAAAAGGAACAGCGCGCAAACCGCTCGCGAAAGACAACGGTGCTCGGAAAACAAGGAGCAAACAGCTCCAAAGCGACGAGAGTATCGGAGAAACAAGCCGCTCGAAAGGGACGAGAGTGTTTGAGAAACAAGGAGCCAACCGCCCGAAACGGGCTAGAGTGTTTGGGAAACAGGGACCACACCGCTCGAAAAGGAGTACAGTGTTTGAGAAACAAAGAGCAGACTGCTCGAAAAGGATTATCGATTTGACAAACAACAAGCAAACCGAGTATTTGAGAAACAAGGAGCAAACCGCTCGAAAGGAATCAAGCTATATGAGAAACAGAGGGAGAAACGATCCAAGCGGTCTCGAGTACTTACTGTTAAAAAGAGGGAGCAAACCGCTCGAAAGGGACTAGAGTTTTGAGAAACAGGGGGCAAAGCGCTCGAAAGGGACTAGAGTATTGAAAAAAAAAACAAGGAACAAACCCCTGAAAAGAGATGGCACACAGGGAGCAAACCGCTCGAAAGGACATAGTCTTCGAGAAACAGCGAGCAAACCGCTCGAAATTGATTAGAGTTGTTGAGAAACAGGGAGCAAATTGCTCGACAGGCATTTGAGAAACAAGGTTAGAGTGTTTGCGACATGGAACAAACCGTGAGCAAAAACTCTCAGTGTTGGAGAAACAAGGAGTAAACCGCTCGCAAGGGACCAAACAAAGTGTTTGAAAAACACGGAGCAAACCGCTCGAAAAGGACTAGAGTATTTGAGAAACATGGAGCAAACCGCCTGAAGAGGTACTACAAACCGCTCGAACAGGACTAGAGTTTGAGAAACAAGGGGCCAACCGCTCGAAATGGACTAGAAGAGTATTTGAGAAACAAGGAGCAGGCCGCTCGAAAGGGACCAAAGTGCGTGAGAAACGAAGCAAACCGCTCGAAAGGGACCAGGAGTATCAGAGAAGCAAGGAGCAAGCTGCCCCAAACAAACTAGCCTTTTTGAAAAGCAGGGAGCATGTTCAAGAAAGGAGGAGCAAACGCTCGAAAAAGGGACTAGAGTATTTGAGAAACAAAGGGCAAACCGCTCGAAAGAGACGTGGCTGGAGTGTTTGGGAAACAAGGAGGAAGCCGCTCGAAAGGAACTAGAGTACTGAAGAAACAATGCGCAAATTTGAGAAAGGAGAAGCAGACCGCTCGAAAATCACTAGAGTATTTAAACAACAAGGAGCAAACCGCTCGAAAGGGATTTGACGAGAGTCTTCAAACCGCTCGAACAGGGACTGGAGCAGAGCATTTCAGAAAACAGGTGTAAACTGCGTGAAAGGGACTGGAGTATTTGAGAATCAAGGAGCAAAGCGTTCGGAAAGGACTACAGCATTGAAGAAACAAGGAGAAGACCGCTCGAAAGCCAATAAAGTATTCGGAACACAGGGAGCAAACCATTCGAAAGGACCTAGAGTCTTCGAAAAGCAAGGAGCAAACCGCTCGAAATTGACTAGAGTGTTTGACAAACAGTGAGCAAGCCGCTCGAAAGGGACGAGACTATTTGAGGAACAGGGAACCCACCGCCCGAAAAAGGCTTAAAGTATTGGAGAAACGGGGAGGCAACCGCTCAAAAGGAGTAGAGTATTTGAGAAAGAGGAGCACGCCACACGAAATGGACTAGAGCTTTAGAGAAGCACGGAGAAACCGCTCACGATACTAGATTTTTTTGAGAAACAAGGAGCAAACTGTTCGAAAGGGATTAGAGTGTATGAGAAAGAAGGAGCACACCGCTCGAAAAGGGACTACAGCATTTGGAAAGCAAGGAACAGACCGCTCGACGATGGCTACAGTGTTTCAAAAACAAGGAGTGTTCGAGAAACAGGGAGCCAGCCGCTTTACAATGAGTAGAGTGTTTGGCAAACAACGAGCAGACTGCTCAAAAGCAACTAGAATATTTCAGGGAGCAAACCGCTCGAAAAGGACAATGCAAGTCGTGCTTGTGGAGTTTGAAGTAGGGCCACCCAAGTCGGTCGAGCTTGCAGGGATTCAGGCAGGGAGCTTTTGCCGCGGTGTTACAAGTGTTGAGTTGTCAGGGTTTAGGGTTTCGGGATTTCCTTGGGCTTAGAGGGCCTTTAACTGTCGTTGAGCGTATAGGCATTGAAGGGCTGCCCTAAATGCCTCGCCTGCTATCCTGCTTTTGCATCTCCATGGATTCCACGTTGAATCCTACCCACAGTGTGGCTCGACTCGGTTCATGCGTGCTTTGGTGTTTCTTTGCGATTAGTTTACATGTGATTCCTTTCCCGGTCCCCAATTTCGATTCCTGGTTTTCCTGAAAGCATCTGTTGTTGGGTCTTTGAATGGGCTAATTCCCTTTTGCTGCGTTTCTTCTCTTGTGCGAGTGTCCAAGTACCATGCAACTTTACAAAGCCTTGTTAAGCCCCCCCCCATATATGGACCTAAACCCGAAACCCCCTACACAGAGCAGGTATCAGATCTGGCTCTCGGCGAGCCTCGATTTCTGCGAGGGCCTGCCGGGCTCGCGTCGAGGGTTTAGGGTTGATGACTTGGAAGTTACGGCCAGGTTTAAGCGCTGGGGTTTAGGGCGTCCTGGTCGGGGTCCGGGGCGTAGGCCCCGGGGCTTTAAGGCCATTTTAGAGTCATGGTCCTTCGTGGCAGCGTGTTCCACACGTCGTAATCAGCTTTTCATCAGAGCACGTTTCGACGACTTGGCGCCTTCACAAGATCAAACACCCTTAGTTAGTTAAGACCAGTCTTAAACTTCAAAGTCCTAAAGTCCTAAACCTTAAGAAATCGAAAGACAGGCCCCCAAACCCTGAAGCAAGATGCCAAGCTCATGCGAGGGGTCTCACCTTGAACTTATCAGAACCGAGGGATGGTGTTTGCGTACAGCTGAAAGCCGAAAGCCTGTGACTCTCAGGGTTTTGGGGAAGTGTAGGGTTTGGGATCGAAGCCCAAGGTAAGTTGAAAAGGGCTCGTGTGTGGATACCTGAGGAGAGTGCAGTTAACAAAGCAAGTTGGGGGTTTTTCCAGCTTATGGTTTTGTCAAGACGGAGATACTGCTAGTGATTAGTGAAGTAGGTATTCTGAAGGGGGGCACTGACAAAGAGCAATGATTGTGGCGTACGGAGAGCTGAAAATTGTACGTTTCAGCCGGAAGCCCTAGCCCTAATCTAGTCGAAAACCCCCTTCCAACCACATCCCTTAACGCCAGTCCGTAAACCCTGATCTCTAAGCCATCGTCCGCAGACAAGATAAACCAAGAACTTGAACCCATAACTTCCCTGAACTGCCAAAGGCCTAAACCCCACACCAGCCGAAAACATTGAAGCCGCCAAACAGTAAGCCGACAGCCTGAAAGACTTGAGCACTAGACCCTGGATCTTCATGCTGACCCGTAAGTCCTGAATGAATCCTACTTCCGGAACCTTAGCTCTCTGAACCTTAATCCTCAAACCATTCAACCACGCAGGCACAAGATGGCTGTGACCAGCGTGTGTCTGACTGCAGACGAAGGCGCGGAAGGGAGCTCCAAGAGCATACTTGCGGTACGATACTCGTTCTTATAAGGGTGCTATATGGGGTTTGTACTTTGTACACCGTTTTTTGCGTCCAGGCGCTTGAGGAAATACTACTCCTGACAGTTCCCTAACATAACTACACTATACACCCAGGTCTGACTTTTGTTGGTATAGCGTCAGAATAGGGCGTAGGTCCATGTAGGTGTAGGGATGTAGGAGAGTAGACTTGCTAAGTCAACCGAGCTTCCAAGCAGAGAGAACGGTGTAGGGCTTCGGGACAAGAAGGTCCATGGCTAATTTTCTGTATTCGGTCCCTAAGCCTTAAACCCTAAACCCTAAACCCTAAGTCATTGCTTTTGGGTGGATCTGCACTCAACGATCCCCCAGGAGGACGAGGTTCGAGCATGGGTTTTTCTATTGCAATCTGGTATCTTGTACTCCAATGTACACACGAGAATCTACCCCCGAAGCAATATTCTACGAGAGCATTCTCAACAGAAGCCCTGTCTGATCCTAAGACCCGGAACCCAGCTCCGAGATGTATTCGCTCAGCAATATGCTTCCACGGTTCGAACATGAGCCAATCTGAAAAGCCCATGCCGTCAAGGCATGTCACATGCAATGTCGTTGCATTGAAACGTGGTGTGAAACCAATACTGTCGTCAACCATTTAAACAGCCGATGTCGAAGGCTATGTTTGTTTGTTTATATAAGTTCTGCCTGGAGGTGGAAGCAGTTGAGTGTGCACGGTGAGTGAGCATCCGAGTGAGCATGGCAAATTCCAGCCATGCGCAGAAGAGGTTTCGTTTGCATAGCTAGCCTTTCCGGCCTAAACCCTAAAACCTGAACTCTAGAACCCTCAGACCCTAAAGCCCTGAACACTAAACCCCTTCAAGCCCCAAAGCCCTAAAGCCCTCAACCCTCATTCCTGTCTCTGCTCTCAGTGTCCCCCTTCAGAGCGCCAGGCACGATGTACACCGGTGGCAAGGATTGCGCAGTGCTGCGCTGGGATGTCGAAACCGGCAAAAAGGAGCTGCACTGATCTTCCGGTACGTCTTTCTGCTGTCGTCTTCTTTCACTCCGATGCTTGATTTTCAGGGTTGAGGTTCATGTTTTCGGGCGAGAGGGTTACCAGACGCCTGCAGCAGGCGGATGGGTGATGTTTCAGCCGGGTTTTGTGACGTTATGGATTCTATCAAAACTCTGGTTTCGGCAGGACGTTTTTCCGGGTGGCCGCAACAAGTTCGACTGTGGCGGCCACTTCGAGAAGGCTGTCAGAGGAGTTTCGGAGTCCCCCTAGCCCCTGAACCTTACACCTAAGCCCTAAACCCTAAACCTACCCCGACACCCCTTACACCATGATATCTACAGTGTCTACAACTTAAATCCTGAACCCGAACCTTCAACCCGAGACCATGGACGGTTTTGTGGGTCTCACCTCGAAGACCACAAGTAGCCCTGCGTCTTCAGGCTTTCCGAAATGCCACATAAACCTGAGAGCCTCAACTCACGGTCCTCTGAAGGTCCTTTCTGTGGCCCTGCTCGAAGAGAAAGGGCTCCTGGTGAGTGTGGGGGTGGATCGCTTGGCCCCGCTGCCGGTTTCGGGGTTTGGGGTTTTGGGGTTTGGGGGTTTAGGGTTTTGGGGTTGATGGCGGGCTTTCTGGTTGTGAGGGTTCTATAAGGGCTTCGGCATTTAGACATGAGTAAGGTTCGAGGCTTCAGCGATTGTCGGGTGTCGTCTCGGGGGTGAACGGCATTGGAGGCCATGGGTCTTGGGCTTCTTAGATGTTTGGTTGTTAAGTGTCGGGCTGAATTTTTTGTCCTCAAAACCCGCAACCGAAACCCCAACGGGCACCAAGCGTAGACCGGAAAGCCTAAACCCTACATAGTCCCTTTTTGCCTATGTCGAGCAAGAGGGGTATCTCTCCTCGGAGATCATTGTAGGTTCTAGGGATCTTTATGGTTAAGATTATAACATAATAGGTTCTAGGGATCTTTATGGTTATGATTTTAACATAATAGGTTCTAGGGATCTTTATGGTTATGATTATAACATATTGCAAGCTTGCTTTTGACTCTCGGTCCTAGAAATCAGTTGACTTGGGATGCAGAGTGCTTTACATGGTGACTCTATAAGGGGGAAGAGTTCCGATGGTTTTATGTGGCTTGGGGCCCCGAAACCCTAAGCTCTAAGCCCCTAAGCGCCAAGCCCCAAACCCTAAGCCCTAAATCCCTACACCCATAAACCATAAGCCCCAAAGCCCTAAGCCCTAAATCCCTAAACCCTCTAGACCCCAAGCCCCAAAGCCCTAAGCCTTAAAGCTTCAACCCCACAGTCGGATTTCAGCGGGAGGATGGTCACGAGAGCAGGGTTTCGAGATGAAGAGCTTAGTACATAGGAGATGGGACTCCCGGTTTTGGGGTTTAGGGTTTAGGGTGATCCTTGCTACAAGGTATTTCTCTGCCGAACTCGAGGCAGTGTGGGCTGAAGAAGCTTTCGGGTAAACAGAAAGCTTGAAGCCCCTGACACCTTGCGACCAAAACTGCAACACATCAGATCCGATCTTTGACGGAATCCTCTCACCTAGCAGCTCCACTCTCCGATGCCAGGTGAGACTTTGGGACCCGCGTGCGGCGGCAACCGGCAGCTCCTCGACTCAGAGATCTGCCTCACCCCGAAGTTTCCAAACACCAAGCCCCGTTTCTAAGGCCTGGGACGTAAGGCTTAATATAGGGGCCTCAGCAATTACGCATACTATTTCGTAGGATTCCGTAAGGCATGTATACTATGATATAATATACCTCAGGCTCCTATACTGGGGCGGATAGACTTATCGGGTTTCTATGCGCGATACCCTAAACTTGGCAAGATTGAGGCCTGTACAAAGCATCGGGAAGTCTGTACACAAATCAAAAGTCACCATGAAGATGGGTTTGTGACCTTTCGGGGTCAAGAGCATGATAGTTGGTTTGCGGAGTTTTTGTGCTTCGGAATTTCAGGTGCTGAGCGTGCGGCTGATTGGACGCAACCTAAACTGGCAATACGGCCCGCGTTTGAAGCCGGAGTTTTATGTAGCTCGGGGAGATTGCCCAAGTGAAGATGCCTTAACACTGCAATTCAGTGTTTCAGGGTAGGGTTAGGGGTCCATACCAGGTGCTCAGAAGCCCGAACCCCCTCAGTCTTCTACGAGCCCGGACACACTGTGGCCTAGAAGTAGAAGTTAGGAGTGTGGTCTCAAGAATCCTTCGTACAGGTGGCGGGTTGCCATACAGATCTGATTAGTTCGTTAATGTATCTCCTTATCGCTCCTATCTCACCGTCTTGGAATGCAACAGTGAGGCCTTGTCTCCTTTTTTCACGGGCATGTACAAACTTCGGCCCCATTTGAAAGCCTTGTGGTTGACCTTGCAGATGACCAATTCATGCAATGCTCCAGCTGTCGACATGGAGATGACTTGTCGTCCACAAGACGGTCAGAATGAAGAACCGGAAAGCCCCACATACTCTTTCTGAGGTGTATTTGCAGTTCGCCTTCAGTCTTGGTTGACCCTTCAGTTTCGATTTGGCCTTCTAAGTGGGTTGGGGGCCTTTCCATAGCCTCGCATAGCCCATGGGCGGCCCTAGAAATGACAACGTCCTCTCTCATATCATGTCATAACCTGTTGTATAGCAGCTTATATATTTTTTTACAGCATGTTGTGTTTATGTGTCTATGCATATACACATACACCCACCCACACACACACACACGCACGCACAGACACCGTGCTACTTATCTTCCTGCTTGTCAAACTCTTGAGCCTTTTGAAGCCGTCTGCTCCTATGCATGGAGCCGCGCGGCACGCCCACATGGTGAGAGCCGCCGCGCGCGAAGCCGCCGCGGAGATGCAAAAGGACGGGCGACGGTTTAGGGTTGGGGTTTAGGGAGGATATCCAATGGTTTTGAGTTCAAGAGCTGGGAATATGAGAACATGATCAACCCTGAGCCGTAAAGCCCTAGACCCAAACATAACCTCCACAAGGTCAAGCCGGGAACCCAAAAACCAACGGAACATGCACATGAGTTGTAGACGTCGTAGTAATAGCGCAAGGGAACCTTGTCCCCGGCCCCTTCCCTACACCGGTGCACCGTCGCCGTGCACCGTTATCGCTCTCTGCCCCGGTCCCCTCCCTGCACCTCCGCGTACCCGTGCACCGTCCCCGTGCGCCGTTATCGCTCTCTGCCCCGGACCCCTTCCTGCACCTTTCCGTGCACCCGTGCACCGTTCCCCACCGTGTGCCGTTCTCGCTCTCTGCCCCTGCTTCCCTACACCCGTGCACCGTCCCCTTGCACCGTTATCGCTCTCTGCCCCGGACCCCTCCCTGCACCTTCCCGTGCACCCGTGCACCGTTTCCGTGTACCGTTATCGCTCTCTGCCCTTGCCCCTTCCCTAGACCCGTGCACCGTCGCCTGTGCACCGTTATCGCTCTGTGCCCTGGTCCCCACCCGTGCACCGTTCCTCTGCCCCTTCCCTACACCGGTGCACCGTCCCCGTGCACCGTTATCGCTCTCTGCCCCGGCCCCCTCCCTGCACCTCCGCGTACCCGTGCCCCTTCCTGCACCTTCCCGTGCACCCGTGCACCGTTCCCCGTGTACCGTTATCGCTCTCTGCCCCTGCCCCTTCCCCACACCCATGCACCGTCCCCGTGCGATGTTATCGCTCTCTGCCCCGGACCCCTCCCTGCACCTTCCCGTGCACCCGTGCACCGTTTCTGTGTGCCGTTATCGCTCTCTGCCCTTGCCCCTTCCCTAGACCCGTGCACCGTCGCCTGTGCACCGTTATCGCTCTGTGCCCTGGTCCCCACACGTGCACTGTTCCTCTGCCCCTACACCGGTGCACCATCCCCGTGCACCGTTATCGCTCTCTGCCCCGGCCCCCTCCCTGCACCTCCGCGTACCCGTGCCCCTTCCTGCACCTTCCCGTGCACCCGTGCGCCGTTCCCCGTGTACCGCTATCGCTCGCTGCCCCCGCCCCTTCCCTACACCCGTGCACCGTCCCCGTGCGCTGTTATCGCTCTCTGCCCCGTCCCCTTCCTACCTTCCCGTGTACCCGTGCACCGTTCCCGTGTACCGT